TAGTTTAAACACAGATTTCCATGTTCTTGCATCCTCTGCATCAATGCAGGGCTTTCGAGTAATAGTCTCCTAACAATCTCTTAAATGTATTTGTACTTTAAGAATGTGTTAGGTTCTTTTAAGTCTGCTGGAAGACAGTTTGTTACACATGAGAATTACAAGCTCTGGAAAGTCCTGCTTTCTGTGGGTGGAAGGATAAAATGTTGGTACCAGATGATCTGGTCATTCTTGTGGGAATTATGGGTTTGGGGACAACATCTTCAGATATGTCCACCATACCATTAACTGAAATGTCTTTGGGCTATCCTTCAACCAACTTGGCTACCAAGATGTATAGATCTCATATTAAATCTGTAATGCAATAATACACATTTCCTTTGTCCTGAAGTGTTGCACACAAATACGCCATGTTTTATGAATGTCAAACAAGCCATGAACCCAACTGACTCAATATTGTAAAAATTAATTTTGGGTGCCAATCAGCCCAATGAAATAATATCTTCTTTCCCTGAAATCAGTCCATTTTTCATACTGGTCATTGCCTCATTGGGTTCCATCAGCTATTTACAAGACACAAATAGATAAATTTCACGTACAATATTAAAAACATTGACAATAGCGTTTGGTTGCCTGCTGCAATTTTAAATACAAGAATAGAGTTTACTTAATAAAGCTCTGGAACTCAGGCATTCTCTTCAGTGCCATCAGTGATCAGTGATATATTTAATATATTAAATATGTCATTGCATATTGCAGAGAAATTAACTTACAAAGACTTTACTCATGACTAAATACAAAGCAGTTAGATCTAGTGTAATGGTTCAAACATTAAATGAACATTCCCATGCATAAAATTGTCAAAGACAGTTATAAAACTTACTTGATTCGAAAACGCTTGAAATTCATATAATTGAATCGATTATTGTTCGACACTCACGCCCGTTTTATCCAGTATAAATGCGTGGAATTTCATCCATTACACCTTATTATCATTTAGAAATGTGTGTTCTTTCATCCCCTATAATTTTTATGGCGATTCGATGAAATTTGAGCGTTTTATTGAAGTTTTTTTGCATCGACTCGGTGTTTCCCCATACAATTTACTATTAGCTTGCTGCGGTTTTACTTGCTAGGAAGATGGCGGACCTAACGCATGCGCAGTGGAAAAAAGGTGCCATGTCGCACACGAGAGTGGGACTTCTGTATAGGTCCTTATTCTGTGCCTGCGCAGAACGTATGCACAGAACGACTTTACATGGTCTTTAAAATTTAACCAATCATTTTCTAAGTTTGTTTAAATGGCTTTTCGTTTTAATCTGTCCCTTGTATTTATAAGCTTTTTTATCTTACTTGTAATCCAAGGGACTTTCTTCAATCTGATTTTTTTGTATTGAAGTGGTGCATGCTTGTCTAAAACTTCCAAAAATAATTTTTTCCAAATTTCCCACATAGCATTTGTTTCTCCTGCAAAAAATATACATATTCCCAGTGCTGTTTCAACAGCTCTGCTATAAATTTTTTCTTGTCAAAATTTTTCATATTTCTCATCTCTATGATATTTTCTTGTTTTATACCGATAACAGACATTTTTCTGATGGCAAATACTAAGCTATGATCACTTATACCTGTATGAATAACACCAGAATCAGAAACTTTTTCTGTTGTATTAGTAGCAACATGATCAATTAGGCTGGTGGTTTTCATAGTTACTCGAGTAGCATCATCTATCAGTTGCGATAACCAATATAATTCATACAATGACTTCATTTTTTTGTAGGAATGTTAGATTCATTATCTGGGTTTAGCAAATCACAGTTTAGATCACCCAGAATAATACACAGACATTCCAACTACTCAAGGGAGACAATTCATTGAAATCTTGTTCTTCTGTGAAAAAGTTTTAAAAATTAAGTCATTTGAAATGGCGTTTCCTGCATTTTGGGAAGATGTTGTTATAAGTGATCCTGTAAATTGCCATAAAATAACTTAATAAAAAGGTCAAAACAGACTATTATGTTGCTAAAAACAGTATGTTTATGATTTTTTTACGATATTTCCCGAATATTCTGAAAAATCGGCAGAATTTGATAAAAATCGGGAGACCAGGAGATTGTATGAATTTTCGGGAGACTCCCGGTAAAATCAGGAGAGTTGGAATGTCTGTATTTCTTTATTTTCATTACCAATAGTTTTTATCAATTTTTCGAAGTGATCAAAGAATTCAGATAATGCACTTGGTGGTCTATAAACTGTAGTAACAAGAAATGGTTTGCTGAGGCTTAATAATTTCAATACAAACAGCCTCTAGTTCAGATGGAACTAGATCATTTCTTATTTTGTAGTTGACGGAGCTACGCAAGTATATTTCTTGATCTATCTTTTCTGATAATATCATAATCAGTAAGGTGTACGATATTATCAGTTATATTGGAATCAAGTTGTGTCTCATTGAAAGCAATAAGATCAATATACTTTTTTGACATTGAATATCTTATTTCATCAATTTTCTTAGGCAGACTAACAATGTTTAGAAAAGCCATTTTAAAACCTTTTTAATTGGGAATGGAGTTAAGGCTAGTGACAAAATCACTGCTCACACTGTTTGAGAAATTACTATTATCTAATGTCTCAATGCTTGGCTTGCATATTTCAGATACACCATCCAGTCTCTCTTTCGATGTCCATAAAGTTGACGAAACAAATTTGTACGACTATCAACTGGTGTATTACCAGCAGTTTTTACTCTATTTCATTTCAAATATGCACAGAAAATATGCCCTAGCACTCTAATCACCCTTGTGGTTTAAGTACACGTTCGATCCATTTAATAAGGACCTATCTATTTGATCATTATCAATAAAGATAATATTATGTTTAGTGCATAAATCTAACTAAGGTATTGAATCTAGATATATTGCTTGTTACCACACGACCATCATACCTTTTGACTACGCTCGACACTGCAATCTTCTCAGTGTGACATTTCAGATCTTGAATAAAGCCATCCCATTTCTGTTGCCACCTTCTCAGCATCTTTGTTGACAAGATCATTGGTACCCACATGGAGGACAACTGTGTCATATTCTTGACCTTCTGACCAATTTTCCTTTATCTTGGCACTGATTTGTCCTACTTGAGCTACGCTGTAGAAATGGACAACTGACTGGCAACCCGCGGCTCTCTCGATTTTCTGCCGATCGAGGTGGTTCACCATGGAGTCACCAATAACTAGAATCTTTTTCTTTCCTGGTTTGTCGATTGGTTGACTTACCTAAGGATCAGGATGAACATTGTTTTTTTTTGTTTAGTAAACTTTGCTTTTTTGTTGAATTGTTAAACCTTGATGTTTCTTTTGAACGATAGTTTTTAATCTGGCTGCTAATGCTTGCTTTGATTTCTTCATTTCGAGACGACTCTGGCTCTGTCATCGATGGTATATTTTCATCCTCGAGTGTTGCGAACTGATTTTCTGTATGTACTGGACTGGAGACCAAGGTTTGCTCTTTGGTGAATTTACTTTTGCTTCCACTTTGAGCCATTCGTTTTGTTTCAAATCGTGAACTTGTTTTATCCCATTATTGTCCTTGGTGAGTTCTGCTATCGTTGCTTCGAGAGATTCAATTTTGGTTGCCATCTTGTGGAAAGTATATGTCCTGATGATCCTACTTTAATATCATTTTACTCAGTCTAACACCAGAGATTTTACTTTTATGGGGAGAGCATTGCCACTCAATGGATTAACTTTATAACGTGTTGCTCAACCTTGGATAGCTAAGATCATCAATCTCTTCTCAGAATACATGTAGGTGAAATGAACTAGGCACTGTGTTTTCTGGAAAATCCCATCAGATGTCATCAGGTTCAATTATGTCTTCATCATTGTTAATGTACTTAGAGAAGACACCTGGTACATATTCTTCAACAGTAACAGGACATTCATTCCAATGGGAATAAAACACTTTGTCATACTGGAAAGTTTTTCCAAACTCCTCTGGGACTTTAGCAGAAAAACGTGCAGTCAAATTCCGTGCAACAGCATGCATTTGCACCTGCTTTCTTGTGTGGTCTTCCACAGTCATTTGTAGTTGTTCCTGTATGGTGGTAATTGCTTCATCTCTGTATTTATTTATTACCCACTCACCTACCAAACTAGATTATTTATCTGTGCATTTGGCTCGGAATGCATCTCTGAAGGCACCACTGTCAAACTTGGTTTCCTTTATTTCAACAGACAAAGTCAAGGCAGTTTTTATCCACTTGCATTTCTCTACAACAACCATTTCCAAACTGAGAGTTGTTAACTGTAGAGGTAACCCTGCCCGAAGTAGATCCCCAATGGATACTGATTTTGGGTAAACTGTTCTGGCCAATTTGGGGCTTGGCATTTCAGGATGGTGGCCCATCCATTTCTACAATCTTTGATGGAATTTGACCCCTTAACTCTAGGCTGTTGTGACGCATCATGCTCGGCGGGTAGTAAAAACGGATAAAGTATACCTTTTCCCTTTTGATTTGTTCCATTTTTGCCTCTGTCCGAGGCAAGAATATCACACGATCCTGCCGGTGCGTTATAGAATTGTTCACAAGCATCTTTAATATTCTCTATTAACAACTCTTCATATCTGAAAATGGAACAAAATCTCTCCTATCCAATGGCTCATATTTTTTCAATCATCCTCTGTACCAATGTATCGTTTGGGATTTTGCCAAGCGCTCTTTTTTCTGGAGCACAATTTCGATCTTCTTTGCCACATTGCTTTAATCCAACTCTTCTTCCCAACTTTCTTTACCTTTTCCTCATTTCATTACAAGTGTGTGTGATATATACCTTTGTCCTGTTTGTTAATGCGATACTTTAAAATCGATCTTTCAATTAGACAATAATCATAATGGTGTAACTGTGGAATGGCGGGAAATTAAATTAGAACCCAGTCTTTACGGATAATACTGGGCCGTTCGAAGAAAAAAAATCGAACAGGCTTACAGCTCTGCGGCCCAGCATTATCAATCAAATTTTTATTTATTTCTTCATTGAACTGTTGCATTTTTAATATTTTTTAAATATTTAAAACAAGAAATCATGTGAATTACAACTTATAATTCATATTATTATACATTTGTAAATATTTTTTTTCTCAAATCAAAATAATAATGAACTCCAATTTGTCATACATATTCAAGTTATTTTCAATTTTATAAAGAAAACAATAATAAATCACTTACAATAACGTAAAATGTGCAAAATATTCCTGAAAAAGAGACACAAAGAGTAAGATTTTAGCCTGGAAGATTTCACATTGCTATTTTGGAGAATCTTTCATCAAAGAGTTTATCACCAACTATTATCCCTTTCTGACATGACATATTCCATCATATATTTTACAACAAGGGAACCACCAGTGATGATGGGAAGTATATTTTTCTTAATAAAGAAGATTTTCAAGATGTTCATGGTCAGCAAATTGGTATCAAGTACTTGATCAACTAGGTGATGGTGTAAAGTTGCGTTTTCCAGCCAAATTTAGACTATTTCTAAGCCGCAGTCCTCGGAATCGTGCTATAATTAAAGAACAGATGCAACCATTACCTTGTTACCAGAGCCAGGAGGTTATGTAATCATCTGGGTTTGTATGTGTGTGTGTATGTGTGTGTTTGTCTGTGAGCACGATAACTCAAGAAATACCAAACATGATTTTTTTCTGTGTTGGCGTTGTGTACTCAGGTGAATATGATATTTGTGATGCTACTCTGATGGTGTGGATATACACTCAGCATAACATCACAAATATAATACCAAACATATTGATATGAAATTTTTTGAATGCATTTCCCATCGGCTAAGGAAGAACTGATTAAAATTTAGTTGAATTTGGTTAAAAATTGAACGAGAAATGAACAAAATTTTGTCTTGCTTTTCCCGGTCAATTAAAAAAAAACTCACTGAATGCATAATTAGGACGTGAATAATGTATGCACACAGTACTAAGAAGACAATGAGACGATAAACCTCATTAAGTTTCAGCCTTCATTATCTATTGTCTTAGTTGCATTTCACACAACCGAAATTCAATGGGGGCTGAGGTACGCAGTCTCTGAGTGCCCTCTAGTTATTATATCGAGAAGCTCAGCATCCAGTGGCAAAAACAACCACTCACAATATCCATCGTCTATTAGGAGGTTAGCATTGGCAAAAGGGTGGAAAGAAACATTACCCCTTTCCGAACAATGTTTAAATATATTAAAGCCCAAAGGGGCAAACCCACCTCATATTTTAAATGTTTTCAAATTAAACTGAGACCAATCATCACAGGGGTTACATAATAACTGGAAGATGTTAGTCAAAATAACCCACTGGTGACAACCTCGTACCCAGTGTCTTTCCTATTGGCTAGGGGAGAAAAGACCCTGGTAGACACTGATCATGTGATCTGCTAAAATCTAGCAAATTTTTAATTAGCAATCTAAGACAAGGTCAATAAATTTTTGATATTTGGATGATTTTTATAGTTTAATTTATAATTTGCATTTTGTATGAATTTGTTGTAAGATTGTTAATTAGAAATCTGCTAGATTTTAGCAGATCATGTGACCAGCATCTACCAGGGTCTTTTCTCCCCAAGAGGAGAAAGGTACAAGATTGCACTGGTGATTGGTTCGACTTTATTTGAAATTACTGAAAATATTAAAACTATGTAACAACTGCATCGGATTGCCCGTTTGAACTCTGATATATAAAAGAATCAACAATGATAATTTTGTTTTATGTTATTGTTACTATGTAATTGGAGCATTGGTTTTGTATTTTGAAAGTAAAATTTGAACATTATATACAATTTACTACAGGTAGAGTTAGCAATCAGGAGCTTTCCTGATTACTGTGTAGTTTGACTAACACAATCATAACTTTGCCATCAACAAATGAGCTGTAAAATGTTCAGTAAATATTGAGTCATTTCATAAAAGAGCCACATTCTCTAAGGAGTAAATTTCTACTGTCAAGGAGAGGGGATAATTTTTTTCTGATAATTGTCAATTCATGTATTTGGATATCCAATTGGTGGGGGGTGGGGGTAGTGTGGATGTTTTCTGCAATGACCCATTTGCTTAAAAGTTTTATGATTGATAATATTAGTTTACTGTGCAGACTTTTGTCTCTTGTTTTTCCTCGCTTGATGTAGACTATACTCCCAATAGTCCATATTGACTTTATTATAAACTCTTTTGGTTCTTTCTCTGTCTCTTAGTTCCCACAGCCTGGCATCATGCTTTAAAACGTCTTCTGTGCTATTCCATTTATTGGACTTGCGCAAGACTGTGGTTCTTGCAACGTCATTATTTTTTTCAACTCCTTGCCCTGTGAAACGTTTTACACTTTTAAAAGCCTGAAGGATCTGAGGTAACACCATGATGTGCATGTAAGGAGTAATATTCACTTTTTTGTACCCGGTACTTTTATCTCGTAATGAATATGAACAAATTTATCCATGCTTGTGCTTTACTAAAATAGTTGTCAATCATCTCTTAGATAACTGAGAATTCTTCCCATAATTGTTTCACTATCTCTTCAATCTCTGTACGAATTATGCCTTGCAACTTAGGTGGCAGATTTTTTAGCAATTTCTTTTTGTCATTACCCATGAGACTTGTAAAGTCGTTTAGACCAGATCCATTGCCATTAGAATTTCTTTTCTCCCAAACTGAAAATGAAATGCCACATGAATTAATTGTTTCAATAAGATTGTTTTAGGTGGTCATTAGTTTTATCAGCATTTCTTTTCCCCCAGTTTTCCTTTTGGTCCCATTCTACTGCATCCATCAATATGTCCATTACTCTGAGCAATAGATGCAGTTCATACATAACTACATGGTCCAGATCAATATGCAACAGGGGTGGATTCATGCAATTATAGTTTTTAGTTGTTTTACCTGCCGACTACTTTAACTCCTCCAAAGTTCTCTTAAGTTCAAGTGAGTTATAGTGTTCTAGGTTGTACGACATATCCCATTGCTCAGTTTTGTGCACTTTGCACCAGGCGCATGCATAATTTGACACTGCATTGCTTAATCCCAGCAAAATCAATAGAAACTTATAATCGCCCCTCAGGAAAAATTCAAGATTAAATGTTTTCCCATCTATTTCTATCTTTTCATTTACAAGTTTATTAATATCCCTGAATACATCTCCAAAGCATGTTTTTAATGTACTATAATCTATGGCTGACATAATATCTTGAGATGGGTGTAGTAATGCAAAACTCATCAGGATGAAGTTAGAATTCCTAGTCATTTGGGCACCATCTCCAGAAATTTTAATTTTTATAGAGTCACCATTGGGTGGTAAGCTGTTGGGCTGGCTCGCAGCATAGTGCCTAGTTCGTTCAGTCAATATTTCCCTAAAAGGCACTTGTGCACCTTCCTCGTCACCAGGTGTTGAACTTATATGGCATATGTTGTTTAGTTGTCCTCTCCTTTGTTTAATTAGATATGATCTTGGCAACTCATCATCCTTCCATTGACAACTCATGGTAAAAGCTGTCCCCCACACAAAATTTGTCAAGAAGAAATAGCACTGTTTCAACTTTAGCCTTATCGTCTTCCGAGAGAGCATCAAATCTATGCGGTGCATCCTTCTTTTCTGTTGACAAATTGTGAACAATGCCAGTCTTCATTTCACTGACTGTCAAAGTTTCAAGCTTTAGTCCAAATGATTCTGCAAACCATAATGCAACTTGTGCACGTGACATAAATGAAGCCAGTGTTCTTGATTTCTTCTGTACTTCAGATATGTCTTTTCCTTTATATTTTGCATTGTTGCTCTGCAACTTATCTATGTAGTTTTTGAGTTCTTCATTTTCTGAAGTCAAATCCGAAATCTAAGAGCTTGCTCCATTTCCTGGTGTAATTGTCTGACATTTGATTGCAAATTTTCACAGGTCCTCTTCCATTCCTCCATTTGATTATGAAGGGATTGATTCTCATTCTTCAGATTCTCTATAGAGACAGTTTGCCCCTGTAAAATATGGAACGTTTTGGTTCTAAGCTCTAATGCCTTTTTTCCCTGCCTTTAGTACTTTTGTACTCGCTATTTACATCACAAGCCAATTTTCTTAGTGATTTGTTCCCAGGGGCGTAGCATGACCATTTTAACTGGGGGGGTGTAACATCTAAGTTTTACCGACGAACGTGTCGCACTTGAAGCGCACCTATAGCGAAAGAATAGTAAAGTGGTACAAGGTTTAGGTTGTATGTATAATAAATTGGAAGTACACTAGTACTGTGTTACTATATACAATAAACTTAGACTGTACCCTATTGATGTAACTGGTTAAAACATGAAAGCTGTAACGTTTCAAGTAAAAATATTCAGTCAATCACTCTAGCTAGGCCACTCTACTCCGTCTCTATCTATGCCATGGGCATAGACCTTACTGATAATTCTCTTTTACCCAATGGCCTCGTTTCCATGTCAAATACTTGCCCATGTTTTGTGCTTAGTAGGGTTGAAAATTACTTTGTTATTGAGCCTAAGAACAGCAAGAAACAAAGTCGTGCCCCTGAAATGCTAAAATAAGTTAACATGGAAACGAGGCCATTGGGAAAAAGAGAATAATCGGTAAGGTCTATTAAAAATAAAACGACTAAATGCGAGCATTGTCGTGGATCAGTGCATGCTGCATGCATTATCCTTTTAAATTTTAGTCTTCCTCGTCTTACTTATGGACCATATATTAGCCAGACTGTCGAGGTCAAGGTAGTCCAAAATGTCGTTTGTGCTGGCTAAAATATTAGGTCGTCGAGACGATCTTCCTTCATTGTCGATCGCAGATAACTCTTTACCAGCCTTAACTTGCTGAAGGAACGTTCATTGCTTGCGACGGACACTGGAATGGTCAGCGCCAACTGGTAAGCTTTAGCAAGGTTTGGGTAGAAACATTGTCTTCCGAGTAGACACTTCGCAGCATCCCGTAAATTCTTGGCACCACTCTTTTCAATGTCGTTGCCCATCATTTCAAGCTCTGCCCGTAGTGCATCAGGATCTTTCAGGTCACCTGGAAAGGTTGCACACAAATTTTCGGCATCTTCCTCAGTGCATTTCGCAATTTTCTGTGGAAGCAATACTGTCACTGGAAGGACAATGTTAGAAAAATAATTGTTAATATCATCCATATCTGAAACGAGGCGGTCGACTACTTTGAACATTTCTTGTCTGTAATGTTGGTTGAATAGTGGTACATTAGCATTGTCTGCGTTCTCGTCAATGCGTCTGGGTGGTCGTCGTGGACATGCTTTTTTGAAAACTCGTACTCGGCATCAATGCCAAATGAGTTGCAATTCTCTACAGCTGCTGTGACAATGCCATCCAGGCCAAGATCATCTTCCCAGATACGAATCATAGCATCTCGCGTTTGGCACATAACATCTAAGCTGGCAAGGATATCTTTATCAATTTCTTGAACCTCGAGGTCAACGATTTTTGTTTTGTACATTATGTTCTTCATGAACAGCATGCTTAAATAAAACTCGAACGACTTTATCCTGTCCGAAAGATTTGAAGCCGTTTTTATAGCATCACGATCACTATCTTCACAATTTCTTACCTCATCGAGTGTGTCAATTACAATTTCGTAGCTGACCCAAACCGCTCTAATGGACTCAGCTCTACCTATCCAACGTGTTTTGGAGAGATTCTTCATGACGAGTCCTTCTTGTAATGCGTCAATATTTCCTTTAAGCTTACCGAACCGACTGGTGCTTCTTGTCAGAAAATTATACAAATCTTGCAATGTAGTGAAGAACTCTTCTATCATCAACAAGGCTTTACAGGAATGTTCAACGCAAAGATTTGTCTTGTGACCAAGACACGTAATATAGGGAATTGTCCACCCTAAACGCTCACTCAACTTAGCTTGAGCTCCGTTATAAGCACCAGACATCGAAGCGGTCGTATCGTAGCACTGAAATTGTATTCCTGCAGTAGAAAGCTGTAAATCTTTCAACATGCTGATGACTTTTGCAGCAAAACCATCACCTGTTTTATCGTTAATTTCCGAAATCTTCAAGAGTCGTTCGTAAATCTGGAACTGTTCATCAACGTGGCGAATTATTAAGGAGATTTGATCCAGGTGACTGACATCAGGCGTTGTATCAGGCATCACAGCGTATACATTCGATGAACATATTTGTTCTTTAAGTATCTTGCGTGTTTCGTGCCCCAGGATGTTAATGAACTCGTTTTGTGATTGAGTTTCACCACCACCACCACCCAGTTTCTAAGAAATGGAATCCAGTGTTAAAGAAGGTTGACTAGTTGTCTGAAGTTTCCATCCTAATTACGTTTCTGTTTTGTAGTCGTTCTTGTTCTTCTTGCGCCAGCACTTGCTTTCTGGCACTAGAAATCGAAACATCTACATGTTTGCTTTTCTGCTCAAAATGTTTCAATCATTCGGCAGCAAGTTTATGAGATGTACTGGTAAAATGTCTGCAAAGTTTACCTTTCTTGGCTTTTCCACGACTTTTCATCTTGTCCCATCGGTTCACGCCATCGCTTGACCAGTTTGTTTCTGCACTTCCCGTTCCAGCACCATCACCAAATAAACTGCTGGCAAAGCAGAATGCTCTATCTAGGGAGAGACTGTATTCTAAATAGGGAAATTTTTCGTACCACTGTGCGCTAAATGAATTTTGCTTAGATTTTGAAATCATGACATTGCAAGGGTATTTCTCTAAAACTGGTTGGTGTGGTCCTTTGGATATCAAATATTGTTTTTGTTGCTCACTTAATTGAACTCCTATTCGCTCAGCTGGGTCATTGCTTATAACACAAGATTCCGTATGAACAGTTTGAGTGTCTGACACTGAGGGCATTTTCTCTACTTTATGTTCCATGGCATTCTTTATTGAGGTGAATAGAAAGCAACACTTCTTTAATTCAGAGGCGAAATCTTTGGCTGAAGACATGAAAAATTCTTCACAGTAATTTTCATCTTCAAATGACTCGCGCAGTGTTTTTCCCTCCTCCAATAACTCGATGATCTCTCCTATCATGCCAGATAATTCATAGTCTGTCTTTATACTCAATGAGAATGGATTTTGACTTTCATTATTCGTTTGAGGAGCGATCTTGTCTGTTCGAATCGTCTCATTAAAATTTTCTTGATTAGAGGAACTTTCGCTATCAGACACTTTGTCGAAAGTTTCTTCTTTGGCTGGATTAGCTGGAGAGGTTTCCATGATGTCTTCATCTTCGAAATCATCAATCTTTTTCCGTTTTTCTTGGCTGTTGTCTGAATACGTTTGTGACATATACTCATCATCCGAGTCATTGGAACGGCGTTTAATACTCGACGAACCTGTAGTTAGAACTGACGAATAAGTTTTTCCATCGCCTGGTAATGTTATCTCAGTAAGCTCTGGCAGTTCATCCTGTAGCTGATCAGCCATAATCACAGTCTCACAAAGGTTCCTTGACTCCTGCCCACTTTCATGTTCTGAGGACTCTGAACACAAATCACTTTTCCCAGCATCTTGTATATGACGAATTTCCTTGGCGTAAATAGGGCGTGTTTATTTCTTATATTGAATTTGTTAGGTAAACACTATCTACCAGAACTTCTCGAATCATGATCATTTACGTTGGTAAGTGGACTAGGAGCCTAGGATTAGCAGATTAGTCTGATTAGACGTTTCCTTTTTACCACAAGGCAAATTTTATATGCTTACCCACAATTACAAGTGAAACTTCAAACTTTACATCACTTTCTCTATTGGCATGCACTTAGTTCTTTAGATTTCTATTTTGACATTCTGTGAGGTTTTTATTGTACATTTGTATGTTTATCATGTTAAAATGAATGGTTTCTTATGTTAAAATGAATGGTTATGTACTAAGTTTACACGTTTAATGTAAATTTATTACTTCCGCACACAAGCTTAATATACGCACCCTATTGACTCTAAAGTAAAATGAGATAATTTGGTAATTATAGTAATATGAATACCGTACGTGTAAAAGAAAAGGATATTCGTATTCTGTAAAATAGCAAGGACTGCAAGGTACGCTGTACCGCCCTTTATACACTACATATACCATAACAGCTATACAGCAATTGACAAATAAATATTTCGGCGCGTGTTTAATGAGTAATGACACTTACCGTGACTTTAGTCTGCCGTCTAGAAATAATGTGAAACCAGAAACACAGCAATAATTGTTGTCTTTGTTACTTCGCGATAAGTCATTTTACTAATTTATTAAGTTGTTGTTTATTGTAAATTTGTAATAAACAGACTTGCAAAAATGGTGAAACATTTTATGATCACCGCGTGTCAATAATAAATATATAAATATAATATTTAATTCTTTCGCGTATCATTGTATCATGCAAGGTCAAAAGTTCGCGCACAGTTGAAATGTCCAATCAGAACCGACTGTTTTCGCAGCTCATGCAACATGTAATACGATAGGGAATTAGAGGCTGCAATGCTTTTGCGTAAATATTTAATATAAGTGATTACTGAAGAATTACATACATTTTGCATAACTTTATGGAGAACATGACACAACATTAATTTAATTTATTGATTATTAAAAGCCATTTACCAACAGAGCAAAATTCCACTTTAACCGATTGGTTTTACCGACCGCTGCCATGGCTCGTGCCATTACAGACTAATTTCGCGTTTTACCGACTACCTCACTAAAACTGGGGGGTGTCACCCCCACACCCCCCCCACACCCCCGCACACTACGCCCCTGTTTGTTCCCTTCTGATCTAATATTTTGATCTGGTGTGATTGCAAATGAATGTCCAGGAATTGAATGCTCTAGTAAATCGACAAAAAATTATTTGTTTATGGAAGATGTTGAATCTGTTTCCATCGAAGATTTAGCAGTTGATACAAGATTATACCATTTCCATTAATAATGGGTAAGGGACACAAACTGCAAAGATGACTGGATGTTTATTTGCATATGCTAACAATGGTTTTTCAATCCCTAATTTCCATTGCAAATGTTGACGCGATGGTTGGACATCAGACATGGCGACTTTCACAGCAATTATTTACAATATAAAATAGTAAAAATAGAATACTTGGCCACTAGAACCAAAGTGAATGATATAACCACTGAGCATATAACTAAAATATACGAAAAGATTTTGAATTCCCGGCGAATTGGAGCCGAATATTCAAGCTTTTTACAGCCACAGTTTTTTTGAGCAGTGGTAAATACCATGGTAACCAAGCAACTGTGACAAAAAAAGCAATATGGTGGAAAGAAAGACAAAAACATTGAAATATTTTGATGTTTAGACGATGTCAATCCACCATTCAAGACATTGTTTGGCTTTCAAAAACCTAGGATTTCAACACATTTGGGAACTCATTAAACAACGAAAAAGTGAAGCAAACAAACAAAACTAACTGGAGTTCACCACAACTAAAATCTGAGGCTCACAGTGCAGACAAAAAACACAGAAGCAGCTAAAATTTGATGTCCAAAATATGTGATGTAGCAGATTCATAGGCTATAAACACCAAACAAGTGGTATGTTTACAAAGGGTTAGGGAACCCAATATGTGATGCTCCCAATTTAATACAAAAGGTAGTGCTAAACAATTTTTTTAACATGGAAAATTTTTAGACGTTCGCAAGTCTGAATTTACAATGCTCAATCACCGAAAATGCTTGTCCTTTACATTACTTGTATAAATCTATAGAAAGACGCCATATTGAATATATTTAAAAGAGACTTGTTGTGCATGCTTTACAGCCAAACTGTCCTCCATTTCTGGCCATGCTTTATCTAAGAGACCAACAACTTTTTCTTCTTTCAAAATGTATTTATCAACCACCTATTGTGACACGTTCCTGTCTTGGTGCACTCAGTAACTTGGTTGGAAGAACATCTGAGCTTGGATGTCCATCAACTTCTGTGAGGTTAAACTCAATCAACCTCCAGCATCACAAATTTCTTGGTGTCATTAACATCTGTGCTTACATCTGATGAAATGAAATGAAAAATTTGTTAATTATTTTATTATTTTATTTTATTAAGCTTTCAATGAACAAAATATATATATATTACATGTATAATGAGGCAAGTACATACCCAACAAGGTAAACTGCCAAAAACAATTGTTAGTTTATAATATAGACTAACAAATATAACAGAACATTGTATGACTCACATTAACAAAACACAGTAAACAATACAAAAAATATTGTGCAAAAAACATTTAAGTGAAAAAAGAGAGTTAACAATGTTGTCTGTAAGATGAGGAGGTCAGATCACATGTAAAGACACATTTTGGACAGACAGATTTCCAGGTTGAGATATTATCACAGTCAAATGTAGAATCCAGCGCAGACTTGTAATGATGGTAAAGAGCAGATCTGAAACAAACGACCGATGAATGGCAATGGGTTGACGTAGGTAGACTGTTCCACAGTTTAACAGTTCGTACGAAGTAACTTTTTTGAAACCGAGAGGTTTTACATTTTGGGACTACATAATCGAGGGAGCAACTGTTTCTAGTTGATTTTAGTAAAATTTTTGGCTGGATTAAGTTAGAGATGTCAACATTGTAGAAACCATTGATTATTTTGAAGAAGAAAACAAGATCCTTAATTTCATGCCAATAGCAGACGGGCAATAGTTTCAATGCTAGTAGTCTGTCTTTGTAAGATTGATAAGGGTTGTGGTATCCAAGAATAAATTTGTTGCACGTCTTTGAATCCCTTAAACCATGCGTAAATTCTTACCAGAGAGTGCAGGCCACAATTTACTGGCATAGCCCAAGTTGGAACAGACTAAGCTTAGGTATAAGGAGCGTTTGGCTTCGATGCTAAAACGAAGATCTGAAGATCTGTGCAGAAATCCCAGCATTTTCTGGGCTTTCGAACAAATACGTAACGTATGAAGATCCCATTTGAGAGTTGGGGTGGTTAACGCACCTAGATCTTTCTGAGATATGTTTTTGAGATTGGTTTGCCATTAATAGTATAAACATTGTGCACTGGTTGCCTATTTTAAGAGTGACGGATAGAGATTCGCACTTTTCGAAGTTGAATTTCAATGACCAGTGGTGAGTCCAAGAGCTGACTTTAGTGATATCATCCTGGACTTCTCTAACGTCTGATGGTGAATTGATGATTCTAGCAAGCTTTGTGTCATCAGCAAACAGGTAGACTAATGTGTCATTAGAAACAGCATTGGGCAGGTCGTTGATATACCAGATAATGCGGTTTTGTTATAACATGGTTGGGACAAACAGCCGAAATGTTACTTTATTCATTTTGAGGCACTCCATATCCCAAAAAGCAAATTACAATGGTTGCAGCCCTGGAGGATGGATCTTCAATCCTCTACGCGAGTCCAGGAAAACAACCTGTCTGTATACAAGACAAGGCAACAACAGTTAGCCTTGTCAATATGTAAATATATATATATTATATATCTTCTATTACATTTTACTAAACCGAGTTATTTTACTTAAACACGAGTATTAAAACTGAAAAATCTTGTTTAATTTTCAATTCTGCTTCATCACTGGTCATTGTTGCTATACAGAGTCATGTGAGATTTTAAAGGGATACGGCAATATATTTTTTTATTATTTCATTTGGAAGAACTTTTAAAATTATATGTTAATCTCTTTTACTGATTTTGCATAACTTTATTATTTCTTGAGATATTTGAACAGAAAAAATTACAAATCAGCGAGCTTTCCGCCATCTTGGATTTTGGCGGATATGCATGTGACATCATAAGCAGAGTCACACAAGAATTTTATCCATAGAGCAATTGGTTATTATGAGCCCAAAATCATATACTTCAGTAATTATTTGAAATAAAAAACTGTCTGATGACTTTTCAAACAAGACTTAATGTTATTTGGTCATTTAGATGTAGTTTTATATGGCTAACCCTGCTTATGACATTACTAAAATCACCGATAATGAGATAAAAATTAATCCAAGATGGCGGACAGCAAATTATTTTAAGAAATAAGTCAAAATATTTCAAGAAATAATAAAGTTACGCAAAATCGGTAAAGGAGATTAACATATAATTTTAAAAGTTCTTTAAAATGAAATAATAAAAAAAATATATTGACATATCCCTTTAAAGCAGTAACATGTGGAGGGAGTAAATTGTCCAGTCAAATGGTAAACTCCCATGTTCATTATTATACATGAACTTATTAACATAAGATAATTATATAACATATATCAATCATTAACTTTCTCTGCATTTTTGCAGTAAGTTGTTGCCAAAATTGTCTTTACTTATAATAGGTTTGTTATAAAACTATACAAATGTTGACTCTTGGTCCAACCTGCACTTTCCATGATAGTGTTAATTGATTTATCCATAGCTATGTCGAGGCTGAATGAGTACTGTGAGCTCCAAGCTTTTTTGTGTCGATACCCGCAA